CTGAATTTCTTTTCTGCCAGCTACACTCAATTTTGATTTAATGGAGATTAACCATCTGGTGGTGGATATATTTTTAACTTAGAATAAACCGATTAAACAACCAGGAACACAACGTGATCCTCTGCCGTGACTGGCTAGCTTTCTACCACTGAACCACTGAAAATTCATTGTTAACAACGAAATCACTATTACAACCTAAAGGTTTTACTTTTATCTAGTTGCAAAGTATGATATTATTACCAATAAATGAGACACACACACACAAATACAAGCTACTGAATACTCAAAAAGAAATACTATGTCATAATTCATTTCCAAAATGAGACTTATATTCCCATATGTTTTGAACCAGGACCTGTTTACACTTTATAACTTCAGTGTTACAGTTAACATCTAAGAGACATTGAGATGAACTGGACCTTTATTAGTTAGACATCACACCACAGTGAAAAGGAAAGGAAACAGATCCTAACTAGCGTCCCAGGTAAACAGTTAAGTAAGGCTGGTGGTAATAACAAACAACAAAACAAAAGTACCAGAAAGTGTAAAATGTCTCATTTGCCATAACTGCTTACAACAATAGAGACACAGATACTATAAAACTAGGAATTGACGAATAAACACTCTAATACTATCTGAAGATTATGAGTAGAGAAACACTTAAAAGATATCTCGCTATTCGTGGATATCATTGTTTCGAAGAGATCTTAGATACATACTCCTCTTTTTCTGTATTAGTATAATCAGACTCTGAAATTGTAAATACAATGAGCACCCAATTTATGAGTATTAAATCAGGAGATGAGTTGTAAGGAAATACTCAGATAGAAAAGGATAAAACTTATCGAAACCTGAAGGGAGTAATTATTTCTTACATAGCATAAATAACAAACCAGATCCACACTAAATACTCGATTGTAATGTAGACAATCGGTTCACTCCGTTTCACAAAAATATTTGTTATACTTTACAAAGCATACATTTATCATTACTCGGAGTTTTTGACTTCTTCAAGCTCCAAAAGCAGTGAATTGATTAGAACTCATTAATTCTTATGCGAAGCACTAACCAGAGAGGAAATCACTTGAAGTCCCTACTTATATTTTAAGTTTTAGGACGTGTATCCGTCTTTCAGGTGTAGTTGTGTTCTCTGACCTGGATGATTTACCGGCGAAGTTTTCATGGCCTTACTAGGAAACGTCCTCAGCGCATACTTCAATTTGAAGGGAAGTGGAGAAATTAAAAAGCTCATTTCAAACTGAAGTATACACTGAAGATGTTGCCTAGTAAGGTGATAAAAGCTGTGCCAGTAAGCCATCCAGGTCAGAGAACATAGCGACACCGAAATCATTTATTGACTACAGATCTTCTCTATTATATTTATCAGTCTTCTTTCCACAAAAGTGACATTTTAAGAATTACTTTAGTAATTTGGAAATTTCACTTTACATAGATAGAAAAAGCAACCAATTAGGCGAAGAAATACGTTCTTTTTCAGTTAGTCTTTCAACACTGATATATAGTTTTATATCAAAATTATACCAATCACGTGACTATTTTGGACCAAAGTATGGGGGTGTGGTGAAAATGAGAGATTAGAAATCATCAAAACAATTAACTAGTAGATGTTAGCAAAAAGATATCTAAGTTTTGAGAGAGGGGTGAAAGTAATTATGGAGTGCAAGATCAATTAATTCGCAGGGGTTGGCAAAAAGCTCTGATACAGTTAATGATTTGTAAAATAATTATTACTAAAATGAATAGATGAATGGGTTACTTAATAATGCCAAGATACAAATAAGTCGATTAAATTGTCTGGAACAGTAATCATAATAAAACAATGCCAGATGATAGTTAACAGGATAGGGGAAAATCATTTGTAACAAAACTCCATACATGTTGCTTGGATGGTCACGGCAAAGAAAGCGGCTTTACAAATTTCTTTTGAACACAGGTCTAACTTGCTTGAGTGAATTCCGATTGCCTCTGCTGTATTTAAAAGTTGTAGTTATACAGCATAAGAAAAGTTATGTGAAATACAGTAAAAAAATTTAAAAGTCTTGTCAGTGTCGACTTGACATTCTGCATCGACAAGATGAGGTAGTATTTAGCTGTGTATCGCTTCCTTCGGTCCTCTGCCTTACCAAAATAGACGGTGTTCAGCAATTCAGACGCCCAATTTAATCACTTTAAACATAATAAATGATACTGGACTACTGGTTTACTTCTTGATAGCTTCATGTCTCCTATGAACTATAAATATTTGGTACATTTTGAAGTCAATCGATTTGTTTGCAGAAAATTAAAAAAAAACAAACAAGTAACAGGCATTAATACAGTAGGATTCAGTGAATTCATCATATTTCGGTAGAACTCCTCAGCTAAACACTCTGTACACGGTCTTATATGTGCTACGAGACATACATAGGTTAATATATGAATAATAAATAAACTGCAGTGAATTAGCCATGCAAAACGAAAGATGACAATTTTTTACAGATAAAATTCAGATAGATAGAGAGAGAGGGTGGAATGAGTGTGGAAGAAAATTAAGATTATCACGGATTACGGTTTAGTTACTTCTTCATAATAAACAATAGTTTGTCGGTGAAAGGACTTGAAAATGTTAGAAATTGCTAGATGGTTAGTAATAATGAACATAAAACGATTTAATATAATGTTGTTGACAAAAGATATTTTCAGATGAGATAGTAATAATAATAATAATAATAAGAGATGGAATGGGAAAAAAGTAATAATGACTGTTGGGCAGTAAAAGACATCACTATGGTACATTCCGTGCGTCGATGGTTCAGCAGTAGAATGCTCGCCAACTACACACGTGGTCCAAGGTTCAATCCTCGGCCGACACACTTCTAAACTCCTCTAAGCCTCCATTATGGATAAGATTTTATTTTGATAAATCACACAGTGTTACACAGTAATATTAACTGATGACGTTTCGAGCATAAATTATTGCTCATAATCATATCAAGTTACTCACACAACTTTTTCCTTCATTTATATACATATGTGGAATTGACTAGATATTTGAATAAAAATCAATATGAGATAATGTACATTCAGAGATAATAATATGAGTGTTATTGATCAAATACAGTTAGATAGGAAATAAGACGAGTGTTTTTATAGTCATGGTAAATAACTCGTTAGAATGTTGTGATTTGCTTAATTGAAACAGAATTTTGAGATTATATACTATCCCCTTCTGATTTGACTGGCGGTAATAATATCTTCCATATCTCTGGTATTTGCATAGAGTCATTTTTGTTGCATGTGTTGGATGTAGACTCAGTGAACTAGGATTCAGTAATCAATCTCTCTCTCCACCTACATAGATTACTTCTTAGAATCTTAACCCTCTCCCATCCTATTGTGTGGTTGTGTGTTATTGCATGTAGTGCAATTGCTGAGTTGTTTTCTAAATTACTTATCTTCTCGGCGTCAACCATTCTTACCTTGGCTAAATTCTTATGTTCCGACAATCTGATTAACCCCGATCTATGTAGTTGACTTACCTCACAGTCATTACAAGGTATTTTGTAAATTATATTATTTTGTTTAATTGGGTCCACCGGGTCTTTAACCTACAAAGCTCAATGCAAATACCAGAAATATGGAAGATATTATTACCACCAGTCAAATCTGAAGAGGATAATAAATAATCTCAAAATTCTATTTCAATTAAGCAAATCACAACATTCTAACGAGTTATTTACCATGACTATAAAAACACTCGTCTTATTTCCTATCTAACTGTATTTGATCAATAACACTCATATTATTATCTCTGAATGTACATTATCTCATATTGATTTTTATTCAAATATCTAGTCAATTCCACATATGTATATAAATGAAGGAAAAAGTTGTGTGAGTAACTTGATATGATTATGAGCAATAATTTATGCTCGAAACGTCATCAGTTAATATTACTGTGTAACACTGGGTGATTTATCAAAATATAATCTTATCCATAATGGAGTTATACTCTACCACAGTGCCCAAGTTTTACACTTATCCTCTTAGCCTGTAGTAAAGCTGGTTGGGAGTGGGGTTAGTAACCGCACCCCGTAAAAAAATAAAACCACTGCTACTGAAACTTCAAAGCCCTAGCTTGAAGCCCTATGTCCCACTCAGAATATAAGGGAATAAAATTAAAGTAAATATAATATTGGTAGATTCGAAGCGATCACTATTTCCTTCTGCATACAAAGTCCAGGTTTAAAAATCCTGATTTAACAAGCCTCTGCTATTGCAAGCATCTTACTGTTTGTTTTTCTGCTGACAACAGTGAATGACTTGACAGAAACAACATGATGTCTGTGGTACATGAGATGCTTTGTACCTTCAGCTCTTTTCAACCATTTGAACAAATGCTCTTTCATGTAAGTCGACAGTCGTCTTTCCGTGCAACCAATGTACTTGCTTCCACAAATATACTCAAACAGTTATAAGCAGTTGGAATAATCGAAGACTGGTAAGGAGTCTTTTGCCGAATGCTGGAGCATCCACTTGGTAGTGTGAAAGTATATAAGTTTTCGTTTAACTATTCTTGTGCATCATGTCCATATATATATATATATATATATATATATATATATATATATATATACATATATATATACCTTTCTCTGTGGAACATTTGCTTTTTTAACAACTTAATTCCTACTTACGAAACTTAAACATCCAGCTTTTTATTACCTACAAACAGTTGTGAAAAACTGAAGTGATGATGTGCAAGAAAAAGATTCCACTGGAACCTTTTGACAGGTAGAGTTCAGTACAGTTTTTTTTTGCTCAACAAGTAAAAAAATAGTACGTAGTCATCTGTCAGATGAAGCTGCAGAAAATACATATTTTGACATATATCAGCCAATCATTTTAGAGAGTAACAGCTACTTCTAATTGGTCCGTTAAATGTGAACTACTGGCGAATTTTGAAACCACACCCTAACTTCAAAAATCTGAAATATTATTCTGTTCTTAATAAAACAGTAAAATCACCTTGTAAACACAGTTACTTCTTTGTTACAGAAATGACAAACAAACCTGTTGTTCCACAAAATTCGCAGACACCAACAGATGATACAGTTGAACGATTTGATCCACAGTCGATAAGCTTACGAGCCCAGAAGAAGCTAGTCGGGAGTTTACCGAAAGGAATCATTAAATTATTTCTTGACGAATCATCGGCTCGTCTGTTTGAAAATATATTTAGTCTGATCAAGCAATACACAGGATCTAGCAAACTGGCTGCTTATTTAACGAAACAAGCGATTAAATTAAACGTTAAAGCTCTAATCTTGATATCCAATAACATTTTATCAGATGAAGAACTGAATCATGCCTACGAATTCCATGAGAAATGTCATCAAGTAGCTGAGATCAGCCTCCGGTTAGGTCGACCAAAACGGCGCTTATTGCCGGGCGTTGAGCCTTCAATCGATAAACTGATTCAAATGATGAAAGAAGCGAATCAGACATTAGTAGATGCTGTAAAACAACACATTAGTCAGGCTTCACAGGATAAATTCAAGGAATTTTCTGACTTTTTTTGTCAGCGTGAATTTGTTGTTGAAGTGTTCACAAATAAAAACAAATATGCAGCCCATATGGAGAAAATTTACGACGACCTTGAAGATATGATGGATCGAGGTTTATTTTAATGTTAGAAACAAGAAATAAACAATAACTGTTTTCAAAAAAAAAACAGACAGAAACATTATAATTTCTACCTGAAACAAGATGACAATCATAAATATGTTTCAAATGCTGCTGTGGGGCTCAATCATATGTAAACTCGCATATACAAAATTAAGTCGTTATTATTATGAATGTATTTTTAAGTAAATTGTCATTTTATGCTTGAAAGATATTTTAATTATAACCTAGCATAACTACAATCAGTAAGTAGTTGGTTTTCGGATCGCTTTGCTAAAGTTTAACTGACTAACAGTTCACCACTTTTTATTAAACAGTTTACGAAAGCATTCATTCAAAATATTCCTATTTATATCTTACCTTGACAGAGTATGCATAAAAATGTACAATACACTTTTGAATGCGTCGGGCAACTAGTGTACAAAGGTAAGGAAAAACCAAATAGCTTTTAATGGTTTGAGCAGTTATGAAGTAACATTGTTATCAGGTTTCGAGGACCACACTTAAAATGCATTAAAAAAAAAGTAAAACTGAAGGCCGTTTCAGAATCTCAAACAAACATCCCCAGTGATCTATCCAACCAACTCTATTTAATACGGACCAATTAGAAAGCGATACAATACTAAATTTAGTTTCAATCTTTACTGCGAACAACTTAAAGTTTCTTGATACTCTTAACATCTTATCGGTATCTAATTAATGTGGAATATCAATAAATAATGACTGTCATTAGAACTAGAAGTTTGACGTATCTCAGAAGTGCGGTTCACATGTTTGACTATGCCGAATAAACGCAAGGACCCAGTTGTGGATACTTCGCTGGAAGTAATATTGTGTACTTTTACACAGTCAAGATGAATAGGTCTTCATCTGAGCAATAATGGTGTTTTCAGTTAATTTATTGGTTTGAATCAACTGGGGTTTATCATCAGCTGTTAGGCTTTGTTCGGTGAATCTTCTGATTCAAAAAGGTTTATCAGTGCTCTATGTACAGGCTACGTTCTATCCGAAATGACTTGAAACTATCAGAAACAAAACATTAATTTTTTTTTAACTAGTGAAAATACAACCAATGGAATCCTATAGAATAAAGATTAAATCAGATCCAAGGGTTTAGTTTAAGATGAACAAGTTAATTACTTGGGAATCTATTAAAGTATTGACTGGTTTACTATTTCCACATGGATGTATATTGTAAAATGGGTTCACTCTACATTAAGATGGTCAGTGATTGTACACTCAGAATTCAGACTGTATGAAAAACAATTTATGTAAAAGCTACATTACAAAACTATGTTTTCGATGTATTGTATACTTTAACAATGATCAATACGCTTTTATTTGTCAGGTGTTTACCTTATTTCTATTAGACTCCTCCCTAAGGTGAATGAACTAATTGGAGGTGTCATACGTATTTGACTGTGTGAATAAGTTGTCGCATAAAATTATTTCTTCTTGATGAATACCATTCAATTTGCAGGTCAGTAATATTACCCTAAGGTACAACACTTGTTTTGTTCACTTCAGTAGCCATCCATACAACTCTGATTCGTTTTATAGTGAAATCCATAAGGAAATATTTCACTTTAGACATTTTAATGAATTCGTAGCGTACAAAATGTAAGAGACGTAACTAGGTACATTAATACAGTGCATACTTCAAGAAAGTCATGACATTACGTACTCCTGGTTGGAAACCATTCACTTTAGACAGTACTGCTTGCTAGCTAGGTTGAAGTTATCTAAATACCTGGGTTGAGCTTATCACTGTAGTAAAACCGCTAGAATTCTCACTATTCCTTTGAAAAAACCAGTAGGACATAGAATAAAATTCAACATTTTCAAATTACATAGTTTAGGATAAAAAATTCTTTGCAGGTCACAATATGTGACCTACTTTATACCATAAAAGATATCTAAGAGAGCAAATAAAATGTGGTGTACAGATCCATACGAATTTGACTCAAGAAAGATTTTCCTGAGTATAATACTCTGTTGTCTTCATCATCTTTGCATAAATTGGTATGTATTGTAAAGCGCGCTTGATCATTTTGTTTCGATGCAACAAATCGGTTGGTTACATACAGCATGATTCCTATTTCAAATGTATACCACTAACTATTTCCATTTTTGGAAATTTGTGTGCTACATTTAGCTTTCAATCCTTTCTTGATTATTTTAGCATAAGTGAAATTGAAAGTCTCAAAGTAACTTTTTCAAAACAAATTCTGCCGATAATATGAAAAGTTAATTCAAGTATATATTGTAACTGGCAAAGTTCAGGATAAAATCCGTCAGTAAATAAGTTCTTCCGCTGAGTGTAATGTTTAATGTACATGAATAGAACACTGTTACTTTATCACTAGCTACGGGTGTTGCTCAGTAGTGAAGTTTTACTATCCAGTAAAAGTGGCATCCAGCTATTAATTTTAAACACAAGGTTAATTTGAATAACTAAGAAAATACTGATAAAAATATTTGTTTACGAACTAAACATAAACAAAAGGTAGGCGTTTTTGTCACTACTGTGATCTTTGGTTTTGCCAAGATGCCAAAAGTGTGAATTTGGAGAATATACAAGAAATTTTGGGACTATACTGTGTAGGCGTGAAATTACAAAGCTTTACAATATTCCATATATTACCAAGCGATTTCGAAAGCTGGTGCTAGTGCTGTATAACAACTGTTTCACGCAAATGTTCTTTTCAAAGTACAAAAAAGTGAAATAGTAGAATTATTCCCAACAGAAATATGATATTGTGCTGTTTATAATATTTAAAATGTTTGGTAAACACAAGTATCAACCAGTAACAAGGTCTTGCAATATTTCAAGCATATATACAGACAGTACACTTAAGATTTAATCAGGAGGAATTCTGAAAAGTCTAACCAAGTGACCACTGAGATTCTGATTGATTGAATTTATATGAATGGATAATTGAGTAAAAAGTATGGTGAATTGGATAACAGGACTCTGGTTTGTTAGCTCCTCAGTCCATTTATTCTGTGAGTTAGGCGTAATACGTAGGGAAATAGTGCCATCTACTGAATACTAATTTGTTTTCCTTTTAACTGTCCCTATTAATATCTTGGCCACATGACTGTCTCTGAGATGTGTTCCTCCACCAGCTTGTAGATACCGGATTTCATGACGAAAATGAACACTGATTAAGCGGCCAAATGTTTACCAAAAGTGTAGCCACAAGCTTTGTAATTATCTTATTTGATAGTCTAAGAGATTCGACTAATTGCAGAATGCTTTTCAGGACTTAAATTCTTCAGAAGATAATTTAATTCTCAAATGTTTTCCAAGTTCGTCAGTATTTCATACTCACGAGTTTTTCTAGGAGTGGAAAAAAAAACTTTCAGAAAAGTAAGTTGACATTTTTGCAAATATAACTGAGTGAACACCTACTTCTTTTCACTGATTGCTCAAATGCATTTTAGTTGGGATTGTTTCTGGGAAATGAACTTAAGCATTTCATGCAATTCTGTGATGTATCTGCATATTTTAAAATAATTTATTCTTTTAGTTTCTATCTATTAGGATTTCAGAACATATCTCAAACCACGTGGATTTCATTGGCTTAGAATCCTACAGCAGATCAGTAGCGAGCTATTAAGTTGGTGCAAAAAACTATCAAATACTTCAGTAATATTAATTACGAAAGCATTAACTCCACTTAGGTTTGAAGATTCCAGTGCAATGAAAAGGAATTGGTCAGAGCTTACGAACTTGAAGGCAGGGGAAAACTGTTATTCAGTTTTCGCGGTAGGGCTGCAAAACATTTGCCAATTATTACCTAAAATGTATTGTGACTTTAAGATAATAATTTACTATCTCTTCTAATCTGTTCTAAATGGATTCTATTATTCGTATTATTATTATTATGATAATGGTTTTTTTTAACTTCTTCTGTTGCACTGATGTAAACAGTTTCAATCCGATTATGATCATATTAATAATCTTTTTTATTCAATTCACGAATACTAATCTTTCTAAATTGTAAAAATAATTTTACAATATGCTACTTCTTTATTTTCAGTATATTAAAAAATATGAAACTGAGTACATAAAAGAGTTTATGTGTCAATATTTTTACGTATATTGTCTAGTTTTCAATTAGGTATTCTGGGAGAATTCTATGCAACTAAAGATTATCTACAAAAGGAATTCTGTAGTTTAAATGTGTTATTTAGGTATCTTTTTGTATACAGAAGAAAGTAAGTATACTTATTTTGGGCACTAAATGAACTTATAAGTAGTCCCTAAATTTGTGTTTTAGTTGAATAATAAACTACGGGTTCATCATTGTGCACACAAATGGTTTCATTTATATTTGGATATTTAAAATGAAATATTATAAATACCAGTAGTAGTAGTAGTGTAACAACAGAAGACAAGGGCCAGGCAACAGATCGTTTATTAAGGAAATCAAAGCATATTTATATATTTTCATGTACATTATTATAGATTAGTTAAGCAAACAAACACAGTCTTCTGATTGGTGTTTCTCACTTAAAGTTAATCTTTCATCTCTTTGTGACTGTTTCTTGAATGTCAGATCATCTATGTGTCAACTGTATCCGCCTACGCAAAGTCTGCTGTGGTCGGTTTTGAATCAATCTTTGTTCATATTTTCTCACGACAAATCTTGAGAACGTAAACATTGACGTAAATTACTGTCTACCAATTTGGCTAGTAGACAGCTCTCACCACAGTAGTATTAGTAGTTAAGTCTTTCGTTGGAAATAGGTAAATTAAAAACCTTTAGTTTATTCTAAATTAGCACAAAACTAGAAATATCATGCTTCATATGCAAATGGGTACACTGATACACCATGAAAGTGTCTGTGTGAGCTCTTGTTCATTCCAACTACTATAAAGATAGATTACTTTTTCTTGTGCAATCATCGTGACATTCAGCACTCAATGCACATAAGTGGCATATTTATGACTAGTCTTTTTCAGTTGGTTTTAAAAAAAATGTATGAAGATAGAAAAAAAGGTGGAATTTCAATGACCATGTATCATCGTACAACGGGACAAAGAGTATAGCATTTATAAATTAAAATGGAATAACACTTTGTATTATTTTCATAAATTACTTTTAGTCTATCTCAGACAGATTATGATACAGGCTGTTGAAATCCTCAAAAACCATCGACTTTTTGTTTACATTCTAATAGCAAAATTGAAAAACACGGAAAGAAAAGTGTATAATATTATAAAAAAAATAAGTAAATTTTAAATCTCAGAAGGGATATGAGTTCCTTCAAAGTTGCAGATACGCTTTGCTGATGAGTGCCAGCTAGCACGAAACCTAGGTCCAAGGCTTCCTGCCGATTGTCTCCAACAAATTTTCCTTGAACACGCAATGCTGGTGACTCATCGGTAATGTAATAATCAGAACTAAGAGTATAACGTACTTTACTCCTTAGGGAAAAAAGGGATAAATAAACTTCGAAAACATGATATAATCACTGTTATGATCTGTGTGAGGTAGTATATATATATATATCATATGGTGCTTAAGCTATTGGGTGAAATCAAAAACGGGAAATTTAAGTCCATTAAAAATTCAAGCAATCTAGAGTTCAATATTTAAAAACTTATTCTGCTGGAATGCATCCTCGAAAGCAGTACTTTTTTTCGTAGTAAATTCAAGCGGTAAACGAAAAGTAGGATAAAAAGTACACGTAAAAAGCATAATAAACAGTAATTTTATATGGGGCGTGGCGAAAAGTTTATTTCACTGAAAACAAAATTATATATCTGGGAAAAGAAATGATTATACGGTGCGATATTTTATGTTGCCTAGGTGATAATAAAAATTAGTAAATAAGGCTTCGGATTATAATATTCATTACGACTGATTACTTAACAGACTTGGAGAAGACAATGGTAGTAATTGGCAAATGTTGTGAATAATTTGAGAAATGATGTGGTAACTAAAGTGTCGTTGTCACACTAGGAAAATATCCTTAAAGCCAACTTCAGGTGGAATCAATTCTGGATTTCCTTCGAGTTACTAGGTTTCATATACGAATATTTTCTGCCAAGATACGTTAAGCTATATTGGTTCGAAATGAACAGAATGAGTAAATTTTCGAACAGTTATGATATGACATAGTATATCCTCCAGCTGCAGTTATACTTACTGGACATGGATCAGAAAACAGTTAGTAAGCCAAATGAGAACTACAGTTGGATTGTCCAAAAGACGAAAAAATTTATTTCGGAATCCAAGCTGTTAAGCGGGGATGCATGAACGGCGAACTAGGGAGTGTGTGCGAACAATTGCGAGTGACACGTTGGCGTGTTCAATGGATTGGAGGCTTGATTGCATACCTTCAACTTAACTGCTGAAAACAAAAAACTCAATGTTGAATGATGATGAGGCCGTAGTCTA